GTTGAGCCACGAACTCTTGGTTTCCGCTCAGGTCATGATCTCAAGATGGTGAGATCCAGCCCCCTTTGGCCGCTGAGCTCAGCGAGGAGTCTCCTTGAGATTCTCTCCCTCTGCCCTTGCCCTCCACTCCTGCTCTCTCTCTGTCTCTCTAATAAGTAAATAAATCTTTTTTTAAAGAGAGGTGCAAAAATGTTTATTTTTTATTTTTATTTTTTAAAAGATTTTATCTATTTATTCATGAGAGACACACACACACAGAGGCAGAGACACAGGCAGAGGGAGAAGCAGGCTCCCTGTGGGGAGCCCGATGTGGAACTTGATTCCAGGACCTTGGGATCACGCCCTGAGCACAAGCAAGATTTATAAGCAAATAAATCTTAAAAAAAAAGAAAAGAAAAGAAAAAAGAGGCTGACCTCACTAAAGTTAGAAACAAGCAGAGGACTGGGATGCACTATTTGCAACATTATAACAAGTGATTAATGTCCAGAATATAAAGAACTCCCACAAAATAACAACAACAACAAAAAAAAAACCCAATCCAACAGAGAAATGATATTGTAGTAAATATTTGTCTTCTGTGTTTTAGGGAATCCTTCATTATGTGCAAACTTGGGGCACAAGTAGCCAAAGGGGTCACATCCTCCCTGCCCACCCTGCTCTGTGTAGCTGGGGGTGGGCATGACATCAGCCCTACCCAGGCCCACAGGTTTCACTCTCCTAGCGTGTGGGGTCTTGAGTGGATGGTGCGAATGGGTAATAATAGTTGGAGTGGAGAGGAGAGGATCATGCTTTTAAGGTCTTAAAGGAAATAAGCTGGACCTGGGACTGAGTCCGCATCGGGTTCCCAGCATGGAGCCTGCTTCTCCCTCTGCCTGTGTCTCTGCCTCTCTCCCTGTGTCTCTCATGAATAAATAAATAAAATCTTTTTAAAAATTCAGTCTGCAACACAATATATACGATATAATCCCATCTATGTAGCTCCCCCCTCAAAAAAACCCCCAACCCCCCCAAACCCCCAAAAAACAACAAAAAAAGCCCACGAGTGCTATGTATTTCCTTAATTCACAGCAGTGATTGTTGCTTTTCTCTGGTGTGTTCAACCTCTCCTCTCCCCCTTCATGGATCTTTTCCATGTTCAAAGACTTTCCCATCAAAAAAAAAAATCCCCGCTGGATCCCCTGGCCCCTCTCCAGCACTGTTTCTTGCTTCTCCACTGCCTCAAGCTAACTGTTTTCAGGAATAAAGGGAGGAGCTGGGGTTGGATCCCGCCCGGAAGCAGGCACGGGGGGGGGGGGGGGGTTGTGTGTGTGGGAAGGCTGCGGTTTTGTGGGGGGGGGGGTTACATGCTTGTTAGAGCATCTCGGGGAGGGGCAAGGCGCCAGAGGCTGGAGAACTCGGGAGCCCGGCACAGGCGAGGCGCGTGCACACCGCACGAACCTGCTCCCGCACAGGGGCACACGCGCGCTCCGCTGTCACCTGGAGTTCTAGCTCCCCCAGCGAGGCTCTCAACTGGGTTAGCCATCCTTGCCCCTGCCCCCTGCGGCCAAGAGGGCTCTCCCAGGGTGCTCACTCCCACCCCCTGCAGGGACAACGTGGGGGACCCCCATGGGCTGTGGACTACACACGCTGCGGGGTCCCAGCCGTGTGGAAGTGGAGGTGGGAGGTGGGAGGTGGGAGGTGGGAGGTGGGAGGAGGGAGGTGGGAGAGGGTGGTGGGAAGTGGAGGTGGGGGGAGAGTGGTGAGAGGAGGAAGGTGGACTTGTGGACATGGGAGGTGGAGGTGGGAGGTGGGGGTGGGAGGTGGACCTAGCCATGGGGCTCCTGGCAGCCACAAACCAACCTACTGACTCCAGTGATTCTCCCCTAAAGTCAACTGTGTCACGATGAGTCAGGACCCCATGGGGGCCTGTCTTGGCTTGCAGGTCCCCAAAGCAGATTGTGGGAGACAGGCTCGAGGGCCAGGCCGGGGGTTTTCCTGGCGGAGTGTGCCAGAAAGCAGTGGGGGAGCAAGGGAAGTGAGGCGGGGGTGGGGGGGAGGAGAGGGCTCCCTGGCCTCTCCACTCTCACAGAGCAGTGGATGCAAAAGCAGGGGAGCAGGTCTCCCCCAGCACCTTCCCCCTGCGTGGGGACTCTGCAGCTGCCCTGGGCCGGCTCTATCCGGGCCCCAAGGTGGGGATGGGGTGCGGTGGGGTGAGGGGGAGTGGGGGGGCGGCTGGAGGAGACCTGGGAAGAGAAGGCGCCGAGGGCCCGGTGGTGGCCGCTGGCTGCCCACAGGAGGAGGTGGCCCGCCCGTGGTGGCCCAAAGGGGATGGGATGTGGGGCACCAGGGACGTCTACCAGGAGACCCGGTGCCCAAACTCCAGAAAGCAGGTCGAGGACATGCAGAAGCAGCTGATACACAAAACGCCTAGAAATGAACTTAGGAGAGGTGCAAGGTGTGAGTGAAAACAACTGTGAAACTCATAAAGGCCGTGAAGAGCCTGGAATGTAGCCAACTTATTCCTGGTGACCGAGTCTCAGTGTTCCAGGGATGTCCATTTTCTCTAGATGAATCTAAGAGATTCAAGGTTATATGAATCCAAATTCCTATGCAATTTTTTTTTGCAATTGGACACCAAGATTCTAAATTTATCAGGAAGCATAAAATATGTGAGAATAGCCAGCAGAAAATTGTAAGAACAATAATCGCGGGGCTTGTCCTACCATGTATTAAATTGTAAAGTAAGTGGTGAAAGCATACCTGGCCCTGGCCCAGGAACGAGATGGATCAGTGATGAGGAACAGACCCCAGACCTGGATCCAGAGAATTAACTGGGGCTGTTTTGTCTGTGGCAGGAACCCAGAGGGCACGAGCTCAGGCACAGCGAGGAGGGTCTCGGTGGGTGGAGTAGCAGCTCATGGGGCCTCTGGCAGTCCAGTCGGGGGCCGGCGCCCTGCTCCTTCCAGAACTCCAGCCTCGTTGTTTCTCCTACCACAGACCTGCTTCTCCGTGTTTCAGTCCACATCCTTATAGCACCCTCTCTCCCTCTCCGTCTCTCTCTCTCCCCTTGTCCAAACTCCCGTGGATGGAAGACATGGACTGGCTCTCGCTGGGTCCACTAACACCGTGCTAATAAACTGGAGCCAGGGCAGGGGCGTGTCATGACCTGGCTGCTTCGATGACCCCCCATGGGAAGGAGGGGAGAGATCACAGGAATACGGTGACTGGGGCACGGGGTTGGAGTGGGGTGGGCCAACCAAACGTCAGATGTCCATTGCATCAAAATATATGCATAAGAATTTAGTAGCTAGTTGGGACACAATCAGAAATATGTATTTGGTCTCTGTCCCCAGTTCTTGACACCCTGAATCCTTTGGCACCTGTTGGGCAATAGGAGCATCTTTCGTTCTAATGAGGTGACCCTGGTGGTTTCCTGCAGAGCTTCAGGTTGGGAGCTGGTCACCCCAAAGACCAAGCCATGATTAGAAACTTGGGATTGTCAGCCCTGCCCGTCCTCCATGGAGATTGAGTTAAAAATTGGTCATGCCTATGTCATGAAGCTTCCGTAAAAGTCTCTACAAGGATGCCCAGGGGGCTCAGTTGGTGAAGTGTCTGCCTTTGGCTTAGGTCATGATCTCAGTGTCCTGGGATCGAGTCCCGCATTGGGTTCCCTGCTCTGCAGGGATCTGCTACTCCCTCTCCCTCTGCCCTTCTCCCCTGCTCTCTCTCTCTCTCTCTTTCAAATAAATAAATAAATAAATAAATAAATAAATAAATAAATAAATAAATAAATAAAATATTAAAAAAAATCTCTCCATTAGGGGGTTCAGAGAGCTTTTGGGTCAGAGAACATCTTCATGTGCGAGGAGAGCGGTTGCACTCCAAATCCCTGCGCTTGCGACCTCTCTGGACGCCTCCTTAGATTCCTCTTCATTTGGCTGTTCATCTGTGTCCTTAGTCATATCCTTTATAACAAACCGGTACACGAGTGTTTTCTTTGTGAGCCCTTAGAGCAAATGATCACAAGTCTGAGGAGGGGGCCCATGGGCACACCTGACTTAGAGCTGGTTGGTCAGACATGCAGGTGACCATCTGGGGGTGCAGATGGCATCTCAACTGGAGGGAAGGCAGTCCTGTCGACCGAGCACTTACCTGTGGGGTCTGAGCTAACTCTGGGTAGTTGGGGTCATAACCGAACTGTCGGATACTCAGTTGGTGTCTGTAAAGTTGGAAAATTGGTTGGTGTGGGAACCTCTCCCCATCCCCTAAATTTGGTGTCCAAAGTGCTATGAGTAGAGGAAACAAGAGTTTTCCTTTAATCATGAAGGGGGAGTTTCAAATTGGAGAAGAAAAGATGTGGTAGGGATCCCTGGGTGGCGCAGCGGTTTGGCGCCTGCCTTTGGCCTAGGGCGCGATCCTGGAGACCCGGGATCGAATCCCACGTCGGGCTCCCGGTGCGTGGAGCCTGCTTCTCCCTCTGCCTGTGTCTCTGCCTCTCTCTCTCTCTCTCTGTGTGTGACTATCATAAATAAATAAACATTAAAAAAAAAAAAAGAAAAGATGTGGTGAATGGTTGGGGGGGACGATGTCTCTCCCATTCACTGACCTCGTCAGATTTAAAAAGAAATTTGATGATGGAAATCATTTATTTCTTATGTGGTATCTTTCTTGATTCTGCGTGGCTGGAACAATAGTTCTCAAAAAATCTGGTTGAATGAGGCATTTCGTATCAACGGGATAAGCTGTGGTAGCGTGGGTACAGAGGCGCCCTGCTACCCCTGATGTTTTAACAGGAGGTGAAGAACACTTCAAATTTCAAAGCTGAAAACCTTTTCTGTGAAATAAGAACCAGAGAGCTTCAGCCCCTCCCCCCAAAGTCACATGTTTTACCATAAATAAACTCTTTCGAAATAGCATGGAATGCGCTCCACCTGTATGACGGAAAAAAACCCCGCGGATTGTATCTCGATGCTTCTGCAGGATTCGGGAAGTCTGACTGCTCCATAAAGTATTCCTGCCGGTTGGTTTTCCCTCATGACCTTCCACGAAACCAGTGACTTCAGCACAGCGCATCCCTGTAGCATAAATTTATTCTATGTTCAGATTTTTCTTTTTTTTTTTTTTATGTTCAGATTTTTCAATTCTGGTGCTTATGTTGCCATTTTCAGCAGGATGATAATAATTAACAGGTAAACATGAACCCCTCCCACAATCTCAAACCAGTGGAGAAGGAAAGTAGACACCAAGACACTGGAATATGTAATTGTCATCCATTTATTTTATTTTATTTTATTTTATTTTATTTTATTTTATTTTATTTTATTTTATTTTATTTTATTTATTTTATTTTATATTTTATTTTATTATGAGAGACCCAGAGAGAGAGGCAGAGACACTGGCAGAAGGAGAAGCAGGCTCCCTGCGGGGAGCCCGATGCAGGACCTTGGGATCACGACCTGAGCTGATGGTAGACGCTCAACCACTGAGTCACCCAGGCACCCCTGTTTTCCTGTTTTCATTAAGTAGCCGGTTGCTTTGGGGGATTTTCAGCGCGTCCTTCTCCACTCACTGACAGTGGACGTGGACGTTTCCAGTACGAATTGCAAACTGAAGGGGAAAAATATCTGCCTCCCATGGCTCTCGTGGCCAACTGTCTACCCCCCTGGGGAATGAAACCCGTGTGCCATCCAGGGACGTGCCTAAAGCACAGTGGGGTGGTCATACCTCTGCAGAGGGCCTGGATTCCTGCCTGGGCACCGCTGCTTCTTAGCAAATCTGCAAGGCCCAGAGGTTCCAGATTCCCCCCAGAGTCTCCCTGACTGGTCATGGCCACGGGGTGGGGGGCTTGGGGGGAGCTTGTCCCTCGAGGACTTCGTAGGGGCTCACATGGCTTGGTGGCACTTTCATTCCCTTGTCACCCATCTGCCCGCTCCGGGGGCCAGGATCTCTGCACCCATGCACGTCCTCTCCGTCCCGAGTCACACCCACATTCCCACATTAGACACCCGCTCTGCTGACCACATGCCACTTGCAATTATTGATGGGTGCCCTTTTCAAACCAATGTTATGACTGGCCTGGCCCTCGTGGTATGATTACAAGACACCCTTTGGGAATGACCATTGGGAATCTTTGAAAAAAAAATAAAGATTTATCGCTTACCAAAGACCTGGGAACGGGGCACCTGGGTGACTCAGTTGGTGGGCCTCTGCCTGCAGCTTGGGTTGTGATCCTGGGATCCTGGGATCGAGCCCCGCGGAGGGCTCCCTGCTCTATGGGGAGCCTGCTTATCTCTCTGCCTGTGGCTCCCCCTGCTTGTGCATGCTCTGTCTGTACCTCTCTGTCAAAAAAAAAAAAAATCTTAAAGAAAAAAAAAAAGACCTGGAAACTGTACAGGGCACTTGGAGCCCCACAGTGAGGTGGCAGGTGCAGTGAGAGCATGTGCAGCCAGTGGCTTTTATTGGGGTCGAGGGTGGGGGCCTGGGGCTTTGCAGGCTCATTCTGTTGGTGAATTTAAAACATTAAAGAGAATTTAAAGCCCAGGCAAGACAAAAGACAAAGTGGCCCAAATGGTCAGTTATGGAAATCAACCAAGATCTATTAAATAAGAGCCTCAGGGCAGGGAGGTGGCCTGGCTCTTTATGCCTATTTTGTGCTCCTGTTGTGGGACAAGGTGCCAGGCTGGGGCAGCGGGACCTGGAGAAACCAGGTGCAAGAGGACAGGGTTAGCAGAGAGTGCAGCGACTTCCCACATGTGTCAGAACTCCCCGTGTGACAGTGACGGCAGCAACAAGAATTTACAGACTTGGTAAGACCCAAGCCTGGCAGGGCAGGGATGGAGCTGGGAAAAGTATATAAGAGAAGTGAAGAGAATAGAAATTAAAGAAGAAGAAGAAGAAGAAGAAGAAGAAGAAGAAGAAGAAGAAGAAATAATTCCATTTTCAGAGATATGTATAAACTCCACAATTGGATAAGGTGGAACCTGGGATTAGGAGAAAGGGAAATGGGGACATGGCAAGTGGGGGTAAGGGCTGCAGCTTTCAGGGTGCCTGAAACCCTTCCTGGAGGGGCCAGGGTCGTTCTGTGTTTCCCTGGGGTAAAGCATGAGCAGGGCCTGCAGGGAGCAAGGCTGGCGGCATCACTCTGCTCATTGCCTGTGCAGCGAAGCAGTGGGCTCAGGATCCCACAAGAAACCCTACAGTGGAGGGATGACTGGGTGGCCCAGTGGGTTAAGTGTCCAGGTCTTGATTTAGGCTCAGGTCGTGATCTCAGGGTCGTGAGATCGAGCTCCGCGTGGGGCTCTGTGCTCAGCAGTGAGTCTGTTTCTCTTCTTCTCTCTCTGCCTGACGCCCCCACCCCCCTTCCACCACAAGCACACACACACTGTCTCTTTAAATATAAATAAATAAAATGTTAAAAAAATAATCCCATGGAGAGTCTGGGCTGAGATACTGGGGAGGCTGCTGTGCCATTAGTTGGCTCAGGACAATCCAACCCATTCCGTGATAGTCTAAGCACCAATGGCGCAGCCTTGCTGAGAGATGCCCAGAGAGATGGGTGTGGAGAATAGCCATTAAACTCACAGTTAGATGAAAAACAGCCACCAGAAAAAATGTTGCCATGGAGCAGGTGAAGACGGTGACCAGACACTAGGCATATTAGTTAAGCGAGCAGCCTGATGAAAGGAGGTCATAAGGCTGAAATGCAAGAGAAGAGATTATGGGACAACAGGAGACATGACATGAGAACTGGTTGAATTGCACAAAGAAATGAGAGGTGAGGAGCACCTGGGGGGCTCCGTCAATTGAGTGTCTGCCTTGGGTTCAGGTCGTGACCTCAGGGTCCTGGGATCCAGTCCCATGTGGGGCTCTTGGCTCAGCAGGGAGCCTGCTTCTCCTTCTGCCCCCCCCGGCTCCCCCTGCTTTTGCTCTCCCTCTCTCTCAAATAAATAAATAAAATCTTAAAAAAATAGAAATGAGAGATGAACATCACAGAGAAATAAAAATGCAGTGAAAGGAGTATGAGGGGGACAGACATTGTGGAATACACTATACAGGACATGACAAATAGAGGGGATGAAAGTGAGCAAATGAAGTGGGAATAAATGTAGAACTAAAAAGAATGAGAAAAGTTTTATATATATAAAATATGTAATGCATCTCTATACTATACACAGACATGTCATATATTTTATGTATGACATGCAAAGAAGTCTAATACACACATAGTTGGAATCTCTGAAGAAGAAATCCCAAAGAATTGATAGAACATACATACATTTCAATAAATAATTCAAGAAATTTTCCTTAGATGAATCCATATATTGAAAGAGAAAACTCTATGCCAAGGAAAATGGATCAAGCATATTGAATTTTAAAAATAAAGAATTTTTTGAGCAGCCAGGAAAAAAAAATAAAGGGTCAAGCCACTTACAAGGGGATAAAGATCGGGCCAACCTTGCATGTCCACAGATCCACAGCAAACTCCAGCAGAGGTGGCCCACTATTCTCAAGGAAAGAAGGTGAAGTCAGGATTTTATGAGAAGGCCAGTTTTCCATCCTCCTTCCCCCTCCTCCTCCTGGCAACCACCGATCTTTTTTGCCACCTCAAAATAGTTTTGCTTTTTTTTTTTTTTTTCCAAAATATCATATAGTTGGAACCCTATGGTGTGTAGCTTTTCCAGTGTGGCTTCTTTCACTTAGCAATATGCATTTAAATTTCTTCCATGTTCTTAGGTAGCTTAATAGCTCATTAAAAAAAATTCCATTGTGTGGAAGCACCTCAGTTTGCTTATCCTTTCACCTCTTAAGGGACACCTTGGTTGCTTCCAATTTGGGGAAATTATGAGTAAAGCTGCTACAGATATTCATGTACAGGTTGTTGTGTGGACATACATTTTCAACTCATTTGGACAAATACCTAGGAGTGTGATTGCTGGATTGTATGGTAAGTCTATGTTTAGCTTTGTAAGAAATGGCCAAGTTGTCTTCCATAATGGTGGGACACTTCATTCCCAGTGGCGGTGAACCAGAGCTTCTATTACTTCCCACCCTTGCCAGCCTCTGTTGTCGGTGTGGATTTTAGCCATTCTGATAGGTGTGCAGTAGTGTCCCACTGGTGTTTTAAGTGCCCTTCTGATATAGGATGTTGAGCATCTTTTCATATGCTTGCCTGCTGTCCACATGTCTTTGGTGAGGTGACTGTTCAGATGTTTTGCCCATTTTCCAGTTGGGTTGTTTATTTTCTTATTGTTGAATTTTAGGAGCTCTTTGTAAATTTTTTTTTAAGATTTTATTTTTAAGTAATCTCTACACCCAATGTGGGGCTCGAACTTACAACCCCTGAGATCTACAGTCGTATGCTCCACTGACTGAGCCAGCCAGGCACCCTAACGCTCTGTAAATTTTGAATAGAAGTCATTTGTCATATATATGTTTTGCAAATTCCCTACCCCCAGTCTGTGGCTTATCTTCTAATTCTCAAAACCTTAGGCAATTTTGGACATGCATGATTTGATAATGGTTTCATGAGCTCTTTTTAAAAATATTTTATTTATTTATTCATGAGAGACACACAGAGAGAGGCAGAGACACCGATGAGCCACCCAGGCATCCCTCATGAGCAATTCTTGAAGAGATTACTAGAGGATGAATTTGGATCAACTAAGGAATAACTGGATACATTTTGGTAAAAGGAGGGTGGTACATATAGACTATATTTATCACAGAACTAACACAAAAGTTTGGTGGTAGGATTGGGAGATGGAAGGAATAAAGTTGAAGATATAAGCTAATTCATTCATCATTCATTAAAAAAACAAAACACCAAATTTGAAAAGCTGGATCATTTTCTAAGAGGATATTATTTATCAGAAAGATCCCAGAAGAGGGGTACCTTGGTGGCTCAGTGGTTGAGCGTCTGCCTTTGGCTCAGGTTGTGTTCTTGGGGTCCTGGGATCGAGTTCCACCTCAGGCTCCCCGCAGGGAGCCTGCTTCTCCCTCTGCCTGTGTCTCTGCCCCTCTCTCTGTGTGTCTCATGAATAAATAAATAAAATCTTTTAAAAAAGAAAGATCCCAGAAGAGAGAAGATATAAGTAGAGGTTTTTAAAAAAGAAATACAAAAAATTTTCAGAGTTGCTAGCTTCCCCCAAAGGTTCAGACTTTGTCGATGTCACAAAAAATTCTAACAGAGGAGATTTTTGGATACTGTTTGGGGCATGGAAAAAGAGGAAAAATCTCCACATTATTTTAATTAAGGCAGTACAATTGCAAAGGTTGATAAAAAAATTATATAAATAGTCCATGCCAGTCACCCACCTGGCTAAACTGTGGTAGAAATCTGGATGTAGATACACAAGAGTGAAGATGATGTGGAGGCACGGGGAGAGACCACTGCCCTGGAGCTGGGGAGAGAGGTCTGGAAGCCAGTCTTCCTCACAGCCCTCAGAGGGAGCCAGCCCTGCCAAGGACACCATGATCCTGGACTTCCAGCCTCCAGGACCAGGAGGAGTTACATCTCTGCTTGTCTGGCCCTCTGTGGTGGTACGTGCTTACGGCAGCCCTTGAAATGAGGATTGCTTCTCCTCGGTTGGATGCCCATAAAATACACGGTCGCCTGGGAAGATCTGCCACGCCACAAGAATATCCAAATCTGCCAATAAAATTCCTGGGCGTACGAATTAGGATGAAGTCATCAAACCCCACAAGCGAGGATCACATCCGGCAAGAGTGGAACTAAGGAATTCTGGTTTTGAAATCTCAATTGATTAAATTTCTCGTGGGTCAGCTTTGGCAGAGAAGGGTGGTGAGCGATGGTATCTGTGCTTTGAACAGTGACACCCATTCAGAGTGTTACCCATGAAGCTTGTCCCTGCCCTCTTAGGACCCCTCGGGGCCACCCCTGCTGATTCCTTCTTCTGGTGGAAAACCACGCTGCTTCAACCAGAAGGTGGAGGACAGTCCTCACCATCAAACGAGCTTTTGTTGTATTTTTAGTGGTTTGTTTTTCTGTACCGACATGCCTGGGTGAAAGGAGCAAAAGTTCACTGGGCAGCTTTTAACTTTGGTTCGGATTGTGTCACGCTCTTTCTTCTTTTCCAGGCTTTTTTGTCCCCGCTGGGGCCAAAGGCTCCCCTGGCAGCCGTGACCACCAGGTGCTCCCACCAGCTGCCACAGCAGGGCCGCGATTTCGGCTTTTGTACAGAAAAAGAGAATCATTCACAAACAGAACACACCAAATTAGTTCTTTAAAATTCAATCCAGTTGGACAGTAACATTTTCTTTTTTTAATTTTACAACTGGTGTTATTTGTCTTGGATACTGTTCAGGAATGAAATCAAGATATTCTAATGTCCTTTACCAAGAGGACGGTTCTCAATTAAACAATAAGGTTTGTTGTTCAAGGGAGGTGCTAAATCCTTAAACAAACAGGCCATTTTGGAGCACTGATTAATTGTATTTTTACTGCAAACATTGAAGGACCTCAAAAAAACCCAAAGGGTCATGTTCCCACTGGTACAATACAAACTTAGGTTTGTTTTAGGAACAAATGAACTCTTCCTTTATCAGCACTTTCTGGGTTTGGGGACTGTGAGGAACACATTTAACACCAAATTAACCTGTTATAACCTATTATGAATACTTAGAACAGAAATCCCACATCAAAAGTACAACCGCACAGACATTAAAAACCAGCCCATCACCATTTCCACTGTGGAAGTTTGTATTTTTCGTAAATCATTCAGCTCTGTGTTTAAGAAACAAAAGTTATGTCCTCAAATCAATGAAGACTTTTGATCTTGTCATTTGTGAAAACATGGCTGGAACTTGAAGGCATTACGCCGAGGGGAGAAAGTCAGACAGGGAATAGACAAATACAAAAAAAAAAAGGAAAAAGAAAAAAAGACACAGTATAACGTCCCTTATTTGTAAGATCTAAAAAAACAAACAAAAAGGAGCTCATGAGCTCGTGGATACAGAGGACAGATGGGTGGTCGCCAGAGGTGGGGTAGGTAGTTGGTGAAATGTGTAAAAGGGGTCAAAAGATACAGACTTCCAGTTACGAAATAAGTAAGTCGAGGAGATGAGATGCACAGCATGATGACGGTAGTTAATAATTCTGTGTGGAGTATTTGAAAATGGTGAATGGAGCAGATCTTATAAGGTCTCATCGCAAGAAAGACATTTTTGGCGCTATGGATGGTGACAGATGTTAGCTAGATTTATTGTAGTGATCACTTTGCAAGGCCTACAAATATTGATCCCTGACATTGCACACCTGACTAATATGTCATAAGTCAATTACACCTGGACAGAAATACACATTAATGGGAGGAGAGTGGGGGGATGGGGTCATTCCAGTTGGGTCAAAAATGACTCTCTGAACTTGAAATGTGATCTTCACATTTGTATAAAACAAAGGATTAAAGGAGTTTAAAGATAATGAAAACCTTTAAGTCATAGAAATTGAAGTAGGAAGCAACATTTTTATCAGAATTTAAGCTATAACAAAGTATACAACACAGTGTAGGATGTAGCATTTAAGAATCTTTAGTAAAGGGGGATCCCTGGGTGGCGCAGCGGTTTGGCACCTGCCTTTGGCCCAGGGCTCGATCCTGGGGACCCGGGATCGAGTCCCACGTCGGGCTACTGGTGCATGGAGCCTGCTTCTCCCTCTGCCTGTGTCTCTGCCTCTCTCTCTCTGTGTGTGTGTGACTATCATAAATAAAAAAAATTTTAAAAAAACTTAAAAAAAAGAATCTTTGGTAAATAACACGTTCATATGCAGACTGTTCAGTATCTTGATGTGAGTGGTAATTTTTAAAAATAGTTCATTTTAGGTAATTAAGGAGGGCATGTGATGAGATGAGCACTGGGTGTTATACTGTATGCTGGCAAATTGAATTTAAATTAAAGGAAGGAAAGGAAAGGAAAGGAAAGGAAAGGAAAGGAAAGAAAGAAAGAAAGAAAGAAAGAAAGAAAGAAAGAAAGAAAGAAAGAAAGAAAGAAAAGAGAAAGAATTTGGAAACCAAATTGGAAGACAAATGCACAAAAAAGCTAATCCAAGGCAGAATGTGACAGACTTTAAAGAGTAGGTACAGGGATCCCTGGGTGGCGCAGCGGTTTGGCGCCTGCCTTTGGCCCAGGGCGCGATCCTGGAGACCCGGGATCGAATCCCACATCGGGCTCCCGGTGCACGGAGCCTGCTTCTCCCTCTGCCTATGTCTCTGCCTCTCTCTCTCTCTCTCTCTCTCTCTCTCTCTGTGACTATCATAAATAAATAAATAAAAATTAAAAAAATAAAAAAAAATAAAGAGTAGGTACAAAATACAATGGGGTTTGTAGAAGAAATTCAAATGCAGTCTATACAACTTATTTTGAAGCTTTAAAGAAAATATTTTTGAAAGACTCTGGACACATCAACCAGTGGTGAAGGGGACAGGGCCAAAGTGGTGAGTTTTGGCAAGCCGACTGGGGGGGGGGTCCACAGGGAGGACCCAAGGAAGCTGCAGGACGCCATAGGGGCATGGATTCCCCTCATGGCCTTAGTGTGAATGAGAAAGAGCAAGGATGGAGCAACCACACAGCCACAGCTGGGCAGGAGGTGTGAGAAGATGTGTCATCTGGGATAGTGAGTATGCAGATGTGGCCTCCAGGCCAAGATGAGGGCAAAGGCAAGGCTGAGAGAATACGCCTCTCATTCTGTCAGTGCTCAACAACCTGTAGGCCCCAAGTCTGTGGGATGTGTGCTTCCATTCTGAGGGTGTGTTACTATGGGGGAATCTAAGTATCAAACCAATGAGCCTTTGCTGGGGCCTTACTGTCTGCTGAATTATATGTGGTCCCATTGAGATTCTACAACACAATATGGTGCCTGTCTTTTTTTAAAATTTTATTCTTCTACTTGAAAGAGAAAGAGAGAGCAGGAGAGGGACAAGCAGACTCCGTGCTGAGCATGGAGCCTGATATGGGGCTCACTTCCGGGACCCTGAGATCATGACCTGAGCCAAAATCAAGAGTCAGACGCATAACCAACTGAGCCATCCGGGCGCCCCAGTGCCTGTCTTGATGGAAGGCAGCAATTCACCTACTGAGGGTCTATTAGGTGCTCGGTATTTTATATACACACTCTCACAATCCTCACAATGGCCCTACAGGGTAGGTGAGATGATTGTGATTTTACAGACATAGACACTGAGTCTCAGAGGTTAAATGACTTGACCAAGACAATTCGGCTCTAGCCCGTTGGAAACCAAATTGGAAGCCTGGCTCTTCTCTCCCTCTCGATACTTTTAGTGCTTTTCTGCATCATGCTATTGAGGAGGGGAGACAAAGCACCTGTACTGCTGTCCACATGACTGGCTTCACCAGCTTGGAGGACAACTAAGGTGACCTGTCTTTTTCTTTTGTAAAATATTTTATTTATTTATTCATGAGAGACAGAGAGAGAGAGAGAGAGAGAGAGAGAGAGGCAGAGACACAGGCAGAGGGAGAAGCAAGCTCCCTGTGGGGGGCCTGAGGTGGAACTTGATCCCAGGACCCCAAGAACACAACCTGAGCCAAAGGCAGACACTCAACCACTGAGCCACCTGGGCTGCCCTGTCTTTTTCATATTCAAAGTTATTGCTCAAGACCAAGTCTCCTGGCCAAGGTTTTGGAGAACCCTTGGAGATTTATGCAGCTTAAAAGGGCCAGACCCGGCTGGCTCCATGGGTGGAGGGCCACAAGATAGGGGTGCATGGGTGGCTCATCGGTTGAGCATCTGCCTTTGGCTCAGGGCATGATCCTGGGGTCCTGGGATCAAGTCCCGCATCAGGCTCCCTGTGGGGAGCCTGCGTCTCCCTCTGCCTGTGTCTTTGCCTCTCTCTCTGTGTCTCTCTTGAATAAATAAAATCTTAGAAAACCCTGTGTGCTGAAAGAATAAAAATAATGATTGTAACTAAAAAAAATTGTTAAGAGTGTAAATCTCATGTTAGATATTCTTACCACAATAAAATATAATTTTAAATAAAAAAAAACCTTTAAAAAAAGCCACCAGATGCCTGGGTAGTGGGAATGTCAGCTTCTCAACTGTCAATGCATGGCTCACTTCTGGCTCCATGGGGGTGGCCCCACTCCCTCAGTAGTGGGATTGACCAAGAGCGCCATGGCCTCGGGCCCGAAGGCACCACACTTAAGTGCCTATTTCTTCGTCTGCTGTGCTTCCCAAATCACCTTCAAACTCTGCCACACCCAGCCTCCCCCACGAACCATTCCAGGTCTTTGCATGGATATGGGGCACCGTGGACTGAATCTTCCTGCCCCAAGTCCGGGCACTAAGACTCTAAAAACCCCAGTGGAATGGTGTTTGGAGGCAGGGCCTTTGGGGGGTGATTTGGTCATGCAGGTAGAGACCTTTTTAAGAAGAGGAAGAGACTAGTGCCTGCCCAACCTCTGCCATGTAAGGATGTGGCAAGAAGGTGGGTGTCTGCAAACCAGTTCGTGGGCCCTCACCACACCCTGAACCTGTGGACACCCGGCCCCAGAACTGGGGGGGGGGGGACAAATGCCGCCCACTCTGTGGGATTTTGCTATA